ATGACTATAATATGTGCTACTGTATATAGTATATGCTACTATATATATGTGCTACTATATATAGTATCTATATATAAGTACAGACGACTATAATATGTGCTACTGTAACAGTCCTCTCTGAGTTGTATGTCTTGTCTTGTCTGTTCCCCTTTATTTATAATGGCAACTTGCCGACCAGCTCCTGTCACACAATACAGCTTCGCTATGAGTGTATATACAGCATTCTTTATTTGGGTGGAACTGACAATAACACGATACAAGTAGTGGTTTGCAAAGTGAAAAGAGAAAACAGAAAGCCACATTCACCCACTCCCATGGAAAAGGAAAAATGACTCCAATTCATTTTCATAGAAATGTAGGTAATTTCTGTCTTTCCAGAAGCATGAACTTTCCCTGCATTTTATGTAGCAGCTATAGTGTGTAATTGCATTTGCATGAATGGAAGACATTTTACTACTATAATTCAGATTACAATGATAATTGCTTTTAAAGGAAAAATATGACACCTTAATTTTTTTATTCTTTTTGATTGTGGTTTGACTTTTGTTAACAATTAACAGAAGGCTGGTGTCAGCCTCCTTTTGTAGAACATAATTTTTGTAGCAGCTCAACCTAACATCCTCTAAACATGGAAGAGAGAAAAATAGTTCAACCGGGTGTGTTCTTTTACTTCAATTAAACTCACACAGTTGGATACCTACTGCTGCCAAAACAGTAATATAATTTATACATTATAGTCCACATAGTAAAACTACACTAAAAGTCATTTAACAATATTTATAACACCATAAAATACAGTGTTAAAATATATGAACTGCAATATGTACCAAAATTATAAAATTTGTTTCTCATCATCAGTGATTAAAACCAGGATCATTACTCTAGCTCAATACTCACAACCCTGGTGACAGATTAGAATTCAAATCTTAATGATCAATTTACAATTAACAAGATAGAAGTGAAACAAATTAAACCAACCATTATATATAACGAGACCCCACGGACTGCCATTGTTCCTCTTAATTACAAGACGCAAATCACAAATACACAGTGGGCAGTGCTAGACATCAATCCACAGGCCTAGCAACCGGCAAGTCACAAGGACAGGAAACGAAGAGAAGTAAAATCACACAGACCCAGGTCTGTGCTCCTTCCTGTCCTTCTAGAGTGCAAGGAGAGAGAGAGAGAGGCTGAGACCTAGAATGAAGTACGCTTAATCTCCACATGCACTGGTCTGTCTGCATGGCCTCAGGCTCATCTTCAGTCAGTGCCCAAATTCCCTAGGTTGTCCTGAAACAGGTTTTAGATCACAGTGCAGACTGTGCCTGTAACGTTTTATTTTATTTTATTTTATTTTATTTTATTTATTTATTTTTTATTTTATTTTATTTTATTTTTTTGACTTTTTGAGACAGGGTTTTCTGTGTATCTCTGGCTATCCTGGAACTCACCCTGTAGACCAGGCTGGGCTCGAACTCAGAAATCCACCTGCCTCTGCCTCCCAAGTGCTGGGATTAAAGGCATGCACCACCACTGCCTGGCTCCTCTAACATTTTAATGTGGATTTTCCAAATGTCTAGGGAAAATATTTACTACTTTCACTTTGACAAAGAAAAATAAATTGTATAAAAGATATTTAAGTATATTCATTTATCTCCCCAGCAACCTTGTAACTATATAAGCTCTCAGTGTACTATGGAATATAGAGGGAATGGGTAGCTAAAGTTTATGTTCAACTAAAATCAGTCAGAATGTCTGCCTGGTGCCAACTAAAAACAAAATGGAATTAATTCTTTTGCCTGATGGTCAAAACAGGCTATAAAAGATGCATGGTATGAACCAGGATGTCAGTCTTCATTTTAAAATGGGACATGCCATGCAGAATCCCTGGGGTTTCAGGCATGACTCCTTGCATAGTATGGAGTACACACATTGCTAAGGACTAGGCTGATGGCTATGGAGGATTCCGAGACAGACACAGTCATCATTGTCATAATCTGATGTACAGTTTACTTGAGGAAACACACACACACACACACACACACACACACACACACACACACACAATTACTACAATACATTTTCTGAGAGCAGCCTTGCAGGAACCTGGGAAGAAGCAGGCTCTGTGGGCATGGTGAGCTTATACTGTGCACTTCTCTAGTGACTCCTCATGAGCTCTAGTCAAATACCTCGATCTGTATGCGAAAAAGGACGCTTTCAATGCTTTGAATTCATTTGTTTAGTGTGGCATTCTGAATGACACAAAAGGCTTACAGAAATTTTAGCAAGGAAAAGGGGAAATAACTTTTTATTATCAACCAAAAAAATCATGTTTTATTTTTATTAAAAATTTACTACAGTACTTTGAGAATAATCTGAACCAAAATTAGTACATGGATTAAATATTTACTCTGGAGACTGAATTTCCACAATGAGAGAACTCTGAACCTCACAGGCCAGCAGAAATACTTTACCCCAAGAGTTTGGCACAGAGTCCACAGACGCATGTCTGGAGGTGGTATGTCTTATTACGTTATGCTTCATATTTTAAAAGAAACATCTGAGCCTTTGGGGATTTATAGGTAGTTTCACAGCAGAAGGTAGCATCGAAATAGAATGCCAGACGGGCATAAAAAAGAGGGTGAACTTAGGAACTGGGGGAGAAATGAGGCAGGATTGAGGAGAAATGAAAGCACACAAACACGAGCCCTTAACACACACAGCTCACTGTCTCTACTGCTGTCTTGGGAAACACATAACTTTCCAACATACAACAGTTTATGGCGTGGTCACTACTTGGAAGGCCTGAGCTTTGAAGAATTCTGTATGCTACCATTTTAACCCTTCAGACTCAGAACCAGGTGTTACAGCCTGACCTAAGTCATGAGCCCCAGCTTTTCTGGGTTCTCTTTAGCCCTACATATTTTCATCACAAACAGACTTTGTCCATTAAAAAATGTTACTCATACCTTGCCCAGATAGTGAAGTTTGCATGTGCTGCAAGAACAGCCCCTGTTCCTTAATGTGGGGTTAGCAAGCACTGTGCTGGGGGCTTACAGCTGCCTTCCCCAGCTGTGGGCTCCTCTGCAGCACAGCCAACCACAGATGGAAATGTTGGGTCTATACTGAGCACACGTATTTCCTGTGGTTAGTTTTCACCCAGTACAGTTTAACAACTAATCACATAGATTTACATCGTATTAGGCACTATAGGTAACCTAGAGATCATTTTACTATGTGGGAGAGGGCTTAGGGTGTTGCTCAATGCTGGGCTACTAGACTAGCATGTGTTAGGTCCTAGGCTCCATTTCTAACACCACAAAAACATAAAATAAAATTTAAAAAATGAAATATGTGGGAAAATATGAGCAGGTTCTATATAACTTCTACATTGCTTCATGTCACAGATGCGAGCGGATCAGGGTGTGGTGTGAGTCCTGCAACCAGCATCCTGAGGTTGTCAAGGGGCGACTGTGTGTGTGTGTGTGTGTGTGTGCACGCGCACGCGTGCGTGTGCTTATGCTTCTCACTCCTGACATTAAATGTACTTCTAAATCCCATAGCTATCCCGCAGCACGGCTTTAGAAGCACTTTTACGAAGCTGAGGTTTAAGGAGATCGGGCAACATGGGCAAGGTTACATATACAGCAAAATGGCAAAATGACTGACAAACCAAGATTCTAATCCAGTTCCTTCTGAATCCCACAGAGTTCTTTCCTAAATAGTGCTTGTCACCCACAAAGGAACAGGCTGGCACCAGACGTCAGACCAGCATGTGGAGGATAGCACCACACCTGTTTTCCCACTCAGTTATCATTCCTTCAATAAATATGCATTGGGTGCCATCTATGCGTCAGACGTGAAGGAGCAAGTTTAGTGTACAAAGTAGCAGTCAGGACTGAGAGGTACAGAGGTTCAAGTTCACTAAGACTGGTAATGTGCAAGACTGATTAATTTAAAGAAGGAAAGTAAGGGCCCAGGAACATATTACAGGTTAGCTCCCGCTCTCAGTGTAACAATTACCTTCCAAGAATGTCTACTTTTCTACAGGAATTTAAAGGTTAATTTTTCCTCCCTAGCCTTTCCAATAATTAATTCTGTGCCTGAGCAATACTCACCTCTCCTCTCCTTTCTTCTCTTTTAAGAGACAGACTCTTGCTCTTTTGCCTAGGCTGGCCTAGAACTCCTCGGCTCAAGAAATTCTCCTGCCTTAGCCTGCTGAGTAGTTGAGACTGCAGGTGCATGTGTCTATATCCAGCAAGCCTGAACTTTCTTTAACAGTAGATATAAATATCACCATGGCCTTAAGAAAGACTCGAGACATTGGTAACAGCAATACATAGGCCAAACTCTAACTCTCCTCCCCACAAGCTATCCTAACGATTATGCTCTTTTTCATGTGAAAGTAAAGCTAATTACTTTCGTATGCTGCTATATGAAAGCTAAGTATGTACTGTACCGAGCACGTTTTTGTCCTCAGTGTCCCAAATGACTTAAAGACAGCTTTTGTGTGTTCCTGAAAAACTACAGCAACAGGAGATTGTAGAACTGCTTGACTTATTTGTATTCTTTATTATGCTAATGGTTACCTTGGACTTTGTTCCTGATTTTCATGGTTTTAAGTTATCAATACTATTAAAAGCCAAGTACATAAACATAACCATAAAAATAAATATCGAAATTGGGTTGCAAGAGTAGCTTGGGAGCAGAGTGCTTGCTCACCACTCACAAGGCCCTGGAGTCCTGTCTCTCCTTGTGACAGAAAGGCTGTCTTAGATGGACAATCACAAAAATATGCATACAGAGAAACCTGGTTTCACAGAAAAGTTACATCAATGCATGGCAAATTTTAGTGTTAAATTACAGTATAGAAAAAAATGCAATTTTAAGGCTACATTTTAGCTATCTAGTAAAAGTATTCTAAAGATAATGTATAATTTACCCAATCACCTACCTGCTCTTTAGTGAGACTTTTTCCAGCTTCTTGGCTAGCAGGCAGCATTCTTCTTTTAACTTTGTCAGAAATGTGTTCTGGGAGGTCAACAGTAAATACTGTTCACTTTCTAGAAACAACAATAACCCACCAATATGAGACATCTGTGGCTTTGCTCTGTAACACTTCAATGCATAGTGCTAAAGTGCTTCAGATCACTATACCCTGCCTCGATCCACCAGATCACTGCTAGTGTCCTAAGTGAAGGGCTTGTCATCTGGCGGGACACTGAATCTTGTGAGACATTTATTTTCATAATAAACTTGTATACCAGGAACAATTTTGATCATATCAGCTTGTGTAACATTTTAGCACACTCATAAACTGTCAAATATCTCAAATGAAGTCATAAATGCTTATATCTTTGAAGTATGCAAGATATTATATTTTTATTTTGACAATTTTACTATAAACAGTGTCAGAAATTCTCACAACCAGATAATTGGAAATTAAAACCGAGGAATTCTCTGCTACACTGTACTTGGTGCTTGATGGTTCTTATCTGCCCGTGTTTTGCCCCTTAGAGCTTTCATACGCTCATCATGAGATGAAATACACCACTGTCTTTAGACATTTTATCATACGTTCATAGTGTGTGTTTCAGTAATGATCTGGCCGGAGACTAAAGAGAGTGTATGTGTGCTTGCAGAAAAAAAAGATCTTAAAGATGATTTCAACAGTTAAAACCTTACCCAACCCTCAGATCCTGCCCCAAAATCTTGGTCCAGGAGGATTCTACGAGCAATGGTCCAAGGACAATTTCTCTTATGAATTCCCCTTTGTGTTAGTTAAAAAAAAATCTACAAAATCTTGTGGATCTTTTTTTCATTTTTTTCTGGCTAAATGCTAGGAAGAAACTCTCTATATGAGGCATCATGATAGCTGACTTTATAAGTAAATAAATGCTTTAAAGAACTTCAGGTTACCAATAGGTGGAATCATATTTTAACCATACATTTAAACATAATATGCATTAAATCCTGTGAAATTCATCTGTAAATAATTTTTTTCCTTTTCAATTTTCGCTTATGTTCTAGGGCAGGGGGGAGCATACAGCATACAAAGCAAAATAAATCAAGGCTCTAAAATTAAGCAACATTTTTTTCTGGAAGAGACAGGATCAATTAAACTTTTGTTTTAATGGTACAATCATCGTGGAGTATGTGGTGTGGAATTATAATGGCTGACACTGTCTTGTTTTGACTAACACTGTCTGTGAACACACAACTCAAAAGCGAAAGGAACTACATAACGCTCTGACTGCACACATCAAACTGCCTATTTTCAAAGTGCATTTTACTTTCAAATTAAAGGTAAAGATTTACTGGCCAACTCAGTCTGCAGAATTGTGCCAACGTGATGAAGGATGGCGATTTTGGGCCAAGCTGCCAGCTGTGGTCAGTGCCTTGTATTAGTGAATTTTAACAGCAGTTCTGAGAAGCTGACGAGTGCAGAGGATTAAGCATCACTCTCGACTGCATTGGGGGAGGTGGGGAAATCATACAAATGCTAAAAATGTTCGAGGCTGCAAAGATTAAATAAAGGAACATATCAATTTGGAGCCACTGAATTACATCCAGCTGCGACAGTGAATTAAGAACCGATTAATGGCTAAAGCTTTTCTCCAGTTTGGATGCTGAAGCAAACTCATTAGGCTTTTAGAGTAGCTATAATGTGTGTACTGTGGGAACTGTTCAATGCTATTCAGGAGACTCTAACTGTAAGCTCAGAGCATTTCCCGCAGAGCTTCTGATGCTATTTTCTTTATATAACATGTGTGCCTGAAAACCCAGCCAAAAACAAGCCCTTTGTTTTTCTACTTTGTTGTGGTCTCTCCCAGCTTTACGTTTCTTGAACACAGGTAAATAAACTCATAATCCAGATGGTGCAACAGATGTGAGAGCAGCACTCTGAAGTCAACAGACAGTGGGCAATCCTTGCCATTTTCTCTTTTAAAAGCTAACTAATATGTAATTCGGAATCTCCGGTGTAGTTAGCATCTGCTCCCTTCGGCCAGCCAAAGGTTACAGGTGTTCCTGATGTCATTTCACAGTAAGGGTGGGCCTTGCTGGTGAGCAGTGCCCAGGCTCTAATCTCTCCCTACCACCCACCAGTTTTGTCGTGCTGGGTCTCCATTTGCTGTATCTTCTGTGTTAGCTCCTGCTCTCTCTGCTGGGCCTGAAGGGCTTGGGCCTTTGCTTCGTTGCTAAAGCTTTGCTGAATGCTATCTTTTTCCAGTCTGCAAAACAGAAAGGAGACAGACAGAGCTGTAATCTACCGGTGCACAGACCTCCATCATTCCCCCCCCAGACTACAGACTGCAGACAGGTAGTAAACTAAAGCAGCAGAAGCTAATCTTTCTGTAGTCTCCCCATTCTGCAGAAGAGAGAAAATCCAAAGGACTATCTCTATACAGTGTAGCATACACACCAGAAGTCCAAACAGACCGAAGGGTGACGTTTTAAAAATTCAAACAAAATCATAACAGTGAAACGCCTGTATTTTATAACCTGATTATTTTTATTTGTGTTTGTATGTGTGTGTGTGTGTTTGCTCACACATGCCAGTGTGCAGGTGAAGATCAGACAGCACCTTGTGGGAGCTGGTTTGGATTTTTCCTTTAGCCCTGTAGGGCTGGGACAGGACTGGAACCTTTAGACTTTTACCTTATAGACTTTTCAGCTTCCTCAAGGAGCTGCCTTGACAGCCCTGACCCTGCATCTTCACAGAACACATGCTTTTTTCCCTTTCTTTCTGTCTTGTATTACCATCAGTCTTTCATCTTCTGGATGGTCGCTATTTCTTAAGACTGTGAAATTCTAGGAAAAACATGACTTAATTCTTAGTCTCGGGAAAATTTACTTTAAAACTAAGCTCGTAGACTACTTCTGGTTTTCTTCCAAGATGTAAGCTATAACGTCGACTCTGCTGGCAGAGGCTGTTGAGAGGCCAGCACCGCATGCCTGCTCTCATTAAGTACTTTCACACACCAGGCTGCACACGGGACTGGACAGCAATGCGAACACGAGCTGCTTCCCTCCTTTCCTCATACTAAACTTTCCTTTTGGGTCATGCTGACAGAATTGCAGGATGAAGACAACATCCTATCTCTCTTTACAAGAGAATTTATTTTTGTTGTTTCATTTTGTTGAGACTGGTAGGGAGGGTGGCCTCAAACTTGCTAGTAGCTGAGGAGTACCTTGAATTTATGATCCTCCTGCCTCTACCCCCATGAATGCTGGGTGCATTAGACGCATGCACCATCATGCCCAGCGTTGGGAGGTTCTGGGCACTCACTCCAGGGCTTGGTGCGTGGCAGGCACGTTCCCTACTCAGCTACACCCCCACCCAGAGAGGAGCTTCCTAAACAAGCTGAGGCTGAGGGGGAGCACGGCCCTGTCACACCTACTCTCACACCTACTCTGTGCTCATGTTGCACACCACATCCGAATTCTTGCTGGGTGGGTTCTTCAAGCTCTATGAGAAGCAACATGAGGGTTTCCTTCAATTAAGGGACTCAGTTATTTCCATCTCCTGATCTCCTTGTGGGCATTTCTCATCCATGCTGCTTTAGTTTACTAATTGAGATATTTACTGCCTAGCCTTTGCCAAACTAAAAATAAACAGTTCCATAAAGCTATCACTACCAGTCTATGTACCGCTGTGGAACTTCAATTCACTGGCTTCTAATTATATGGCAACATAAGGAAAGCCTGTACTGAGATTGGTCAATGCGTGTGGTAGTGTTGTAGTGTAAAGCTCCAGAATGAAAATACACCCACACCTCACTCACATGGAAGCATCAGGGGTCCATGCTAAATGTGAAATGAGGTCCCTTCTGGTACTTCTAACAACAACACCCCCTGGATGTGCTCCAAGGTCTTGTCTCACACTCAGTTCCAAACTAGTATATTGCAACAAATGGATAGTCAGACGAGGCTACTTTTGCCTCCCCCTTCACACCACGTATTTTCTGGCTAAGGATCACTGCACATGTTTCTTCCTCTTCTTGGAATGCCCTGGCCCACCCAGCCAATCCCCTATACAAAGCACACTAGCCCTCTTGGTCAGACCTTAAAATTCTACCCTTCTTTCTCCTGTCTTTTCTAAATCAACTATTCTCCCCTGGGTGACCTTGGTATGTGCTGTGTCCACCTATAGTGATGTCATATATTTGTTATAGGTTTACATGTCTGTTTCCTTTATAATCTTACATTTTCTCTACCCTAAACCCAGATCAGGGCTCAGAACATAAAAAATAGGCACTGCATGCTAAATGATTGAATGTTCTTAAGCCTTAAGTTGCAGGACTGGGGTGAGGGAGGACTGGAGGGGAAAGGAAGGCAAAAGAGGGATGGATAAGCCTTTAGGTGAAACAGGAGGATCTGTTCAAGTCTCTAGAAGTAGGCAAAGCTTTCTCAGACTCTTAGAACAGAGAGTTCGCACTAGTTCAGCTCTTAGTAGTACTGCATGCTATAGGTCTTGCGGCTGAAGGGACTGACTAGAGAGCCTTCTGTACTCTTCCAGTGAGCAGTCATATCCCAGTCTGAGCATGTGACAGGGCTAGAGCTGTGTAAATGAGATGACTCCAAGGCTCTCTGTTGACTGTGTCAGAGAAAGAAAGGGGGCATTACCAATAATGAAGGAAATGTCAGACAGACACTGCATGATGTCAAGGATAGACTCACAGTTCCCAACTTAAATCCCAGCAACAAGAAGCTGCCTGGTGAGTGACATTCTGAGCTGAGTGAAGAAAGGACCACAGGTTAACAGAGCTCTTGTCATAAAGCTGTGCAAAAGACCTCTCACCAAAGGCTGTTCTTCTGCCCTTCCCCAACTGCTACTTGAGTGGGTATGTATTGCTGTTTTCCATGGAAGAAGGCATGGTACATTGCTGTTTTCTGACTTCTTTCCCCCTTTGCCAGCCCACCTCTGTTCCCTTATAAAATCTCTCTGATTAAGTCAACTTCTCAAGAAATCTTAGACCATCAGATCTGAAGGGAAATCTCATTTTCTTTCATGTAATCATCTCATTTTAGACCTGAACAAATAGCAGAACACAACTTTGAAAACCCTGAAGGTCATGAACAATTTGAAATCCATTCATAAGCTACACAGTGAATGATTTCAGTGCAGAAATAATAAAACTATCTTTGCTCAAGGAAAACTCTTTTATAACACTCTAGAGATAATGTAGTAATGAACATAAAGAATTAACTAAAAACCACTCAGGTGTTCAAATGACCCAATAAGTATTTTCATTATATATGTGAAAGCCATTATACTAGGCATTGTGTCTACTGAAAATAAGGTTTAGTGGGCCTTGACACTAGAAGGGATTTCAGACTAGACAAAGACAAACAAATAATAACCTCTACAGTGTAATAGTTCATGAGAAAGGTAGAGATGGAAGGCTACGAAGATATAGAAAGCTCAGAGACCAATGGATATAGTGGCTTGGTTACCTCATGAAGAGGTCTCCCTCCCCCCCAGTTGGCTTTCTCTCATTGGTTTCTCACAGTTACTGATGGTCCCATTTAATAAAGCTTGTACTTATCCCTATGTGGTTCTGCAAACCAGAACTCAAGCAATAGTTGTAGGGAGTTTCTTAGTAATTATATTCACACTGGCTAAAAACAAGAAACAACCTATATGCCTACTACCTGCTATGAATCACATGTGTAGGATAGCCTAGTGGGAGAGAACCTAGAACCCGATCAAGAATGGAAGAACCTATGGTACACATGACTCCTAGATGAACCCAAAAAGCAGCATGTGTAGAGGAGCCATATTTACCATCTTATGTACTTAGCACTCTAGACTAGAAAACCCTACATGATGTTGATTCCATGGTGCCAAACCAGGGTAGATCACATTTCCAGGTCCTGCTGATAGGGAAAGGGTGTGAGAGAAGTTTTGGGCTGACAGGAAAGGATCTGTGTCACAACTGTGATACATCAAACATTTGATATTCTTCTTACAACACATTCAACCACAGCTAAAATTTGTCACTATTGCTACATGTGTCAGCTCATGCCTATGGCTCCAGCATTAGAAATTATTGAGCCCAGCCTGAACTGTCTAGTGAGTTCCCATAGCAACAAAATTTGACTTTTACTGTACTTAAGTTTGCTTCAATAAAACTAATTTTTAAAAGGAGCAAATACTGTAAAAATTGGAACACCTCCTTTCATTCTTCCAGTTACCTAGATAGCTATGATCTGGGGGCTGGCCATGCTCATGTCTACATTTGTGAGATAGGCCCACAGAGGCCCACAGGTCCAGCTGCCCTGGAACTCTCTGTACAATAGAGTGACCTGCCTTTGCCTTCCAAGTACTAGGCTTAAAGGTGTGTTACCATGACGGGGTTTGTTTGTTTGTTTGTTTTTATAAAAAAGAATAAAAAGGACTGATGGGTACTAGACAGGCTTCAAAACTATGCCGGGCTGTCTAGTGCGCTGCTGCACGCCTTTAACCCCAGCACTCGAGGGTCAGAGACAGGTTGATTTCTGAGAGTTTAGGGCCAGCCTAGTCTACAGGGCAAGTTCTAGGGCAAGGCTAGATACAGAGAGCCTAGCTCAAAAGAAAACAAAACAATAACAGCAATATCCAAGTATACAATTAACTTAGCTTCTCCCCCCCCCCCTTTTTCTATTTATGGTTCTGGCTGACTCTATCTTCTAAAACATCACAATGCTATTTTTAATTCTATTTTTCATATCACATATTATTTTAAATATTTCCAATGTAACAGAACAAAAGTGACCTGTTAGCTCTTCATAAAGTTATTAACAATGCTCCAGTTCAACAATCAGCTTTTCCAGTCTATGATCTACAAACCTATAGTGTTACCATTATCACTAAGTGGTGACTAAAGCATCCCTTCCACCTGCCACGTCTCTCCTTAATTTACCTCCGAGTTCTGAAATGCCACTATTGCACATACAATCCCTTGGGGGTATGAGATGTTTATTTTTAAAGCACAGAATAGAGCATTTTGTGGCAGTCGCCTCTCTGGTTGAAGAAACTCCTAAGAAGCTGGGATTTAGCTTGGTTGTAGAGAGCTTGCATAGCATGTCCTATCTCTAGAGTCATGACCACTACCGCCATGAAAAGAGCACCTGCAATAACAAACCTTTGCAAGATTTACATGTTGACTAGCCAAAAACTATTCTTGAAGGAATGTAGAGAGAAGCAAGAGTTTGGCACAGGTGATATTTTGGACAATTGGTACCCATT